TAAACCAAATTACTTTTTCATTATACCTTATGTTACACTTTATTTATTTTTGATATCAGAAGCAATTAGAAGATTCGAATAAAAAAGCGATTAATAATTAAAATGCGAGAGTAATCATGAAGAAATAAGTATAAACCTATCGATTGCAATTATATCACTTCGAAGTCAGATTACAAAATCTCGAATCAGACGATCAAGACGACGCCTACAATACATCTTGGTCAAATCTTTTTAATTAACAAACCGATTCTGTATTGTAAAGTTGAACCACGACATACTACACGATAAAGTCCTAAATTCTTGCACTTGCAAAAGGTGGTTTGTTTTCTTGAAATAGAATCGGTAAGCTCCTCAAGTCTCTTTGTAGTCTTCCTTAAATCTGGAAAATCCAATTGCAAGGCGATGTAGGAAAGAAAGAATTATGAGATCTTCTGGATCAAACAGTTTACATTGATAATGTCCAATCTTTGTCTACAAGTCCAGGATCTTTTTAGTTCATAGCTCCAGAGCATTTACTTGTTGGTCCATTATTCCTATAGACACCCTTATGGTATATCTATTAATAAATAATGAAGCTGCTTCTTTTGGGTTTTATTCTTGGACAACTCCGGTAATTTCCTTAATTTTGCTTAAAAAATAGATGGACTCAATTAAAGGACTGGCGAATAAGTGAAGAACTTCTACAAAATTTCTCTTAAAACATTGATCTGGGAATAAGAGGTGAAAGAATCTATATTTATCTAACATGGGCCGGAAGATTTCTTTTTCTTCTTTAGTTGAGATGCGTCAATTATTGAATTTTAATTATCGTTGGTTGCCTATTCGAGAATTTATAATAGTGTAATGTTTCGCATGTCGTTCGTTTGAGTTTTGGGCATTTTTCACGTGGCTAGTAGAATGTTTGAATATCCTAAAATTCGCAACCAGTATCATGTTACATAATTTTGTTGAAAAAATGACAAAGAACTTCATTGTTTTCATGGGAAAGATATTGCTGCACTTAGGCACTTCGTTATTAGAGAAGACATTTTAGATATCAACTGAATCTAATGGCCTTCTCTTACCATTCCTAAATTGAGATGCGTCAATTCTACCCGCGAATACTCAATATTGTTTGAACTCATTTGTCACAATCATTCCATCACCAAATATCATTGAATAATTGAACCACAAGATTAATACGTCGTCTTGATTGTCTGATTCAAGGATTTTGTGATCTGACCTTGAAGTGGTATGGTTGCATCGAACAGTAATGTGGTGTTAATGCTTGTTTCTTCATGTTGACCCTTGTCATTTTAACCATTGGTTGCTTGGTTATTCGAATATTCTACGCTGAGATAACAAGTTTAGTCGATTCTATTTTAAATAATTTCGTCAAAAACCATTTGAACAAAGGTCCAAGGACTTATTCATAAGTTTCATGGGATAGGTATTGTATGTGATTGTGTTTAAAAGGCACATTGCTATTGCCGTAGCCTCGTATGAGCCTTTTGCCACCTATCCAGTAGTAATTCAGAATTTAGATCTTGAATGAGTTGTTTATTGATACTAACACGCGTTTTAAGGATATCATCAAAACAACTCTGGTTGTATTAGCATTCGCTCCAAAGGTTTTTAAATCCAGCTATAAAATTTTGGTAACAATTTCAAGGAAGTTATGAATTTTTTTGGAGCATCCACTGCATCTTCTTCATTATTGGCACTATTGGTAATATTTGACGATTCGTTAATATATTCCATATATTCTGCCATTGCTTTCCTGAATGCTTCCTCTTGGTATTCAATCCTGCTACTGAATTTTTTTGCTTCTTCATCGTTTAAACCTTCATCATAGATTTTCCCCAAGTGGTTATTCAAAAAGTTCCACAATCCAAACTTTTTTAAGTTTCGTTCTGGTTTAATTGATTCGAGTAAAATTTTTTCCAGAGCTCCTTGATGGCTATACCTTTGATTTTAACAAATGATTCCAGAAAAATTCCGCCGACATCTGATAAGCTATTTTCAAAAATCTGCATGCTATCTCCAATCACATGCGTTAAATCAAAGCCAAGTTCGATTAGTTCTTCAGATCTTTGTTCACTCTAGTTATATCGGAACGAACATAACCACATGATGGCGTAGGTGGGAAAAGAATTAGGAGGGCTCCAAATCATTCACGTCGCTGCAGATTTGTTAATACCCAATATATTTCCACAATATCCCCAAATCTTTACAGACCAAGATTGCTCGAGCAATCACATTTAATTGACGACTATTTTTGTAGCCATCTTTAGGCGGATAATCTTCCGGTACATTAGTCGACAGATAATGAGAATTGCTTCTTTTGGGTTTGGCTTTGGTAGATAAGGTTAAACTTTATTTCACAAATCCACTCTCAATGAGACCTTTATTTTTACTCGAAATAGTTGGGCTTTGCTTATTACGTGGGGACCGACCGATAAGAGGTGAAAAAGTTCCATATCATTTCCCATGGGAGCTAACTCCTTGATATTTGGCTGATTTGATGCTTCCTTGATTAAATAAGGGAATACTGGTATTGGTAATTTACTTTCCCGGGGGAATTTGATGATTTCTTTAAAATTTTGAATGGGATCGGGATCTATTTGCCCGATATTATGTGCAATCTTTAATTCGATAGGTTTTTGTCGCATCGACCAAAGAGCATTAATAACCTCTATATGAAGTATCTTGATAGTATTATGCATCTCCAATATTAAATTTACGACTTCTACATTTATGAAGTTTGGTCAGAGCCTTACAGCATGAAATAATGCCTGGCTCTTCCGTATTTATATATAACCCATTTTGCATGTGAGTAAATTATGTGAAAGGAAATAAAATGATTTTAAAACCGAATTGGTTCGGTTCCAACTTTTGCACACGAATTAGTTGTTGAATGCTCACTATTTTTCCAAAAGTCCCTCAATAAATATTTTTTAATTTATGTATCTTATTTTATATTTTGTGCTCAGACTTATTTGGAAAGTAATAAAAGAAATACATTATTGAAAGTAGATCTTCCCATGATATTTTTTTTTTGAATCTTTTTTTCTAGTTACTTTGTTTCGTATTTAATTCCATTGCTGCACACATACAACTATTCTCGAGTAAACCTTATATATATATATATTATTTACATCTCGACTCTTTATATAATAGAGTTTTAGAATATATACATACATTATTTTCATATGTGTGACACATTTTCTTAAGAATACATTGCAAGCCGAATACGTTATTTGCCCAAATTTTACAGGGCTAATGAATTGTAAGTTTATTTACGCGCATTATACAAAAACCTTAAAGTAATTAGTTATTCTGCATGATATGTTTAGCAATAACGATAAGAACAGAAGTCATTGTACAATATATTGGTTGCATACATACATTATAATAACTTTTTTAAATGAAAATAGGCATCATAATATTAATTAATAAATAAATATTAATTATAATAATGAATATCATATTACGCGTTGTAACTTTAAGTTTATCCCGATGAATTTCTTTATTAATAATTATAATATATAGCCTGTGACATTACATATATTCTGGTGTAACATATTATCAAGTGTGTAAATTATTTTTTTGCACTTACATAATTTCATGTGCAGTATTATAGTACAGTATACAGTATATAACATCCAGAAGTTATTGATGCACTTTGGTCGGTACGTTAAAAAGCTTATCGGATTTAATATTGAGCCGAATAGATCCTAATATTATTTTGAATTTAAAGAAAAGGTTAAATCTCTCTGGACAAGTATTTAATATCTTATTTAATCAAATCGGCTCCAAAAGGAAATAATCGCTAGCCCCACATTATAAGTAAAACCTTATATATATATATTGAATAAAAATAAATAACTTATTAAAGAACTAATTATTAAAATGATTATTTTTAAGATTATTGTAAACATAAATCATATACAGTATAAGAGGCAATGATAAACATTTACTAATTTTTTTAAAAATACAAATAACGTGTTATTTTGCAAACAACTATATCGATAGATGTGCTTATCATATTTTAAACAATTCGATCCATTTAATGAAAAACTTATTGATTTAAGGTAGTATCTATCATAATTTGATTGATTTAGGTATTAATTCGTTAAATAATTATTGAGCGCAACGATAGATATAATATTTGGCATTATATTATTTATACGTAACGCAGTAATATATAATAATTGCAGAATATTCCGCATTTTTGTCTGTTTTTTTTATTATTATCAGATATTTCCCGATAAAATATTGTAAGAATTATAAATAGAGGAGTTAGAAAAACTGACCAGATCGTTTACACGCCTAAAGCAGAAATATTTAAATTTGGGCAATAGGTTGCGCGAAGTTCTGGTCTTGTTGGTCAAACCACTAGTCACAATAGGTTCAGTCATTTAAATTATTACTAGAATTTATGATTTTAAAACGAGATATCACATCAATCGGATGCCATATATCAATATCTCCGAACGTCAACATTATAATGCATCAGTTTTTCGCACGAACAGATAAGATCCGTACTCGTAATACGATTAATTCTTAGGCTAACTTTAGTTACTAACTGTTCATAAAAATCGCTTTGTAAGCCGCTATAAAAAAATCTTTAACCGTTATGAGTAAATCTCACTTTCGGTGTTGGATTGTTTCCGATTACTTTAAAAGATTTTTTTTTTTTTGTAAGTACAGTTATTGGGTGAAAACTTTGTAAATCCTGTTTGGGACAATCCTGTACGTGTATTTATACTAATGGCTCGAAATTAGCAAGGTTTTATTCAAAGAAACGAAGCCTCATTCTGTAAGCATATTATCGGAATACGTTGGAGTTCTTCAATTCTGCAGTATCTGTTCCCGTATCGCATATGCAAACGCCAATTTCACGTGATTCTAAGTTTGTAAATTCGGCATTTTATAAAGTCACGAGAGTACTGCAATAGGATTAGTGAATGAAGATTGATTTTTCTTTGTGCATAATAAACATTCTTTGAATAAGTCCCAAAAATGATGCCCTGCTTATTTGTTGTGTCGTAGCAACTTGATAATAACGATACAAATTAATAAATACAATTCAAACCAAGTACTTTTCAGGGGGGCTAAAGTGCAATCAGTATATTTGACCACATACATATCTAAAATTGTGAGTGTAATAATTAAAACTCGCTTGATTCTTGATATTATACAAAAAGTAATGGCGATAATATTACAGTAGTCGCATAAAGCAGGTGTATCTTCCACAAAATTTCTTTCATAAAATGCCTTTTCTATTTAAAATACTCAATATAAATTAATTTCTAGTTCATCAAACATCATTTTTTATTTTTAATAAAAAATGGAGAACACCCAACACAGTAACAACACATTCGTAATCAATAAGGCAGGGATGAAAGTCTTTCGGCCCTTAGATTCTCCATTAACACTTTGTGCGTATATGTAGATCCAAAAATAGGATATATAAGTATATAAATATGGGCGATCGCAAGGCTTAGACCAAACTTTATAAATGTTCGGGTTTTAAAATTGTATTGACAAATGGTGTAATACTACCGAGAAACCTCATGCAAAAGTTGATACTGTAGACAAGGTCGGAAGTGAACTCTTTCGCCACATTAATTCTCCCTTGAACTTTATTCTTGGGTGTAAGTTATTTCATCTTCTACCGACTCGCGTGCAAAATGGGATATATTTAAATGCGGAAGAGCCCAGGCGTTATTTCATGCTGTAAGGCTCTGCCTGAACTAAAAATGTTCAAGTCATAAAGGTAATATTGGCAAATGGCGAGATATTATTGAGATACTTTATTCAGTGCTTAAATGTCAAGGGGTTATCTCCTAAGGGAAATGATATGGAACTTTTTCACTTCTTATCTGTCGGTCCCCACGTAATAAGCGAAGCTCTAGCTATTTTGAGTAAAAATAAAGGTCTTATTGAAGAGTTGATTCGTGAAATGAAGTTTATTCCTTTTCCACCACGGCAAAGACCAAAAAGAAGCGACACTCATCATTATCGACTAACGTACCGGAAGAGTATCCTCCTAAAGATGGCTACGAAAATCTACGAAAATAATCGGCAGTTGAATGTGATTGTCCGAGCAATCTTAATCTGTAAATATTTGGTGGTCCTGCAGAAAGAGATTGGGTATTGCCAAATCTGTAGCGACGTGAATGATCTAGACATGCAAGAAGCCCTCCTGATTCTTTTTCCACCTACATCATCGTGTGGTTATGTTCACCTGATAAATAGAGTGAACGAAAGACTTGAAGAATTAATCGAACTTGGCTTTGATTTAATGTATAATGTGATAGGAGTTAGCATATAACCTTTTGAAAATAGATTATCAGATGTCGGCGGCATTTTTCTGGAATCAATTGTTAAAATCAAAGGTATAGCCACCAAGGAGCTCTAGAAAAAATTTTAATAGAGTCGATTAAATTAGAATGAAACCTGAAGAAGTTTGAACTATGGAATGATGAGGATTTTAACGAAGAAGCAAAAAAATTCAGTAGTAAGATCGAATACCAAGAGGAAGCATTCAGGAAAGCAATGACAGAATATATGGAACAGACCAACGAATAGTCAAATATTGCCAATAACTCAGATAATGATGATACCGAGGGTGTCCCTAAAAATTTATAACTTCATTGAAATAATTACTTAAATTTTATACGTAGTTGGATTTTAAAAACCTTTGGAGCGAATGCAGATACAACGAAAGCTTGTTTTGATAATATCCTTAAAACGTGTGTAAGTATTAATGAAAACTCATATAAGATCTAAATTCTGAATTACCACCGAACGGATGGACAAAATGCTCATATGAGGCTACGGTTAATATTTGGAAGATCTTCTGCAATATCGGTGTGCCTTTCAAATATAACCACATGCAATATCTATCCCACGCAACTCATGAAGAGGTTCTTGATCCTTTGTTCAAAGGTTTTTTGCCGAAATTATTTAAGATAGAATCAACTACGACTTATTATCTCAACATAGAAGATTCGAATAACCAAGGGGCTAATGGTCAAAATGCTGAGGGTCAACATGAAACAAGCGTAAACATTACGTTGCCTATCGATTGCAACTATACCACTTCAAAGTCAGATTACAAAATCTTCGAATAAGACAATCAAGATGACGAATTAATCATGTAGTTCGAAATCCTTAGTAATATAAATGACCACTTGATGATATTCAATGACGGAAAACTTGCTACAATGAGTTGAAACTCTGTTTGAAAGAATTCATGGATAAAATTGATGCATCTTAATTTAAGAATAATAAGAGAAGACTATTGATTTAGTAGCCGACCAGTCAAGAAAAAGCAGAGGAATAGTATTGCTATTAGTTGAATAATAGAAAAACTTTCACAACAATTTCATACTTAATAAGTTTAGAAAAAATTTTATAGGCAAATCAAACGTTTTTAATCCGGGTTTTTACATTTGGAAACAATATAATCTTTTGATTTTATTCGAAAATTTATAATCGAAGATATTAATATTCAGGAATTTTATATTTTAGAGGATATATTGATTATTCATGGTTTCATGAACTTAAACTTACAGTGAACTTATTCTTGGTTCATATATTAACAGTGCTTGTATTACTTTCATATTGTTTTACTATTCGTAATTTTTTTAAATATCATGTCAGTTTTTTTCGCGCTTTGATTAGCCTTTCGAAATCTCCATGATTAGGAAATAGAGCTTAACATAAAAAAAAAACAAAATAAGATTTTATTATAGGACAGTCGCAATGTCAGTGTGTGATCTTTTTTAGTTAATTGAAAAGTTTGCAAATCTAGCAACCTTAATCTAGGGATTGGGAGGTCCAAAAAGGTTCCAATCGGTTTTTAAGAAAATATCAATTTTAATCGATTTTTTCTTATAGTTAATAAAAATAACATAATTTTAGTTTCTTTTTGTTCTCATGATAATTAAAAGAACAATGATCGAAATTGCTTCCAAGATTAGGCCTTACCCAATCTTAATTAAAGATGCACTCATATCAAATTAGCATATCATCACATCGTGTGAAAAGCAATAATGTATATTCTAAGAATCGGTCACACAAGCTCAAGAATTGAAATAAAACTTGAGATTTGCTAATAATGCAAAAGTTCCCGTTCTAACTAGCTTTTTCTTGATTCAAGTTTAATGTCGAACGATATCAATAATACCTGAATGAGTCTGGCTATCAGTTAAATAAGTAATATCTGCAATGATCTATTTTAACTTTTATTTTAAAAGATCATTCTGTTGTAACTGATGTAACCACTTTTATAAATACATGACATTTTTTTTTTCAATAATAAATTATATTTTTTAATAAATATTTGCTGAAAAATACGGAATAATATAGTTCGAACAAATTATAACCCAATATAAAAAGAAAAGTAAAAGTAAAAATTACGATAGAAAAGATATGAAGAAAAATTAAGTAGCTCGAAAAAAAGAGTTAACGTTTTGAAAAATAATCAAAACATTTTTTTAAAGAAGTTTGATAAAATAGTTAAAAATACAAATTAATATAATATTAAAAAAACATAATAAATATTATATTATTTGTTTTTATTAATTGAAAATTACAACCTTTTGTCATTTTTGAAATTAGTTTATATAAATACTAACAGGAGAATTGTTTTATTTATTAGACATTTTACACATATTGTCTTTAAAGAGTTGTTAAAAAAATCTTTAGTTTTTCAATTCACTATAACTTGCTATTGATCTTGATAATATATATATTACTAAATTCTTGTCTCTTGGTATTATCGTATTACTCAAATTATTTAAAATAGTATTTGAAATATACATTCTAATTTGTCTTGCATATTTAAAATATTTCTATTATTATATAAGAGATACAGATGATAATAGGTTTGTGATGCATTTAAATGTCATATAACTCTAACAAAAGTAATAAAGTTATTATTATAAAAATTTTATCTTATTTTTATTATTTTAGGAATTTATATTATTTTATTAATTTTAAATATTGACTTAATTAATTAATTATCTTATTTTTAAACCTGTGGGTCTGTAATATAGTGGTTAACACTTCACAGGTCAAATTACAAGATACCAGTTCAACCTCATGTAAGGGTGGTTAAATAGAATTAATGTGGTATCTGGCACCATAACCTGTATAGGTACTGTTTCTCATTAGAAGCTGTTTTACATGCTGATCCAGTAGGCATTGAGATTGTGATTTCCAGAAAAAGTGTTGTGGTGCGACGATTATCCAGTTGGTGTTATGATGATTATTGAAAAGCTGTAAGATGTATAAGATGTCTGCTTCAGTAAAGATGACTTGGTGAGCATTTCTCCTGTGGTACCTGATGTTTCTTCCTGCAAGTTTTCAAAAAGACATTATTTCAATCCAGTAATAAATCATTTCGACAGTTACCTATCTCAAGAAGGCAGCCAAAATAGCAGTAAGTACTGATAACTGAAACAATCTATGGGCAGTAAATCTGTGAGATAAGTTCCTTGAATGTTCTTGGATAGCTCTATAAAGATAGAAATTAAATGGTATGCCCATTTGCAGGTGATCAAATTTAGAATAATTCTCTTTGCAGTGGTTCTATTTGCTAGAAATAGGTACTACTCCCAGTTCCCCATATTCAAACTTCCTCTTAAAATTCCTACAGTGTTAAATAAAACATAATAATATAATAATAACATTAACGAAACTTTGACATGTTAGCCTCAACACAACTACTCTGGGTGATATTGACAGCAACAAGTCGATATGGAGTAAAATCAATATAGTCTAGTAATGCGTAGAATTGTTTATAGATAGTAGTTCCTGTAATACATGAAATACATACAGTATGTCAATAAAATAATAAAGCACGTTTAGGCAAAACCCTGCTGGTTAAACACAAAAAAAAAATTATTTTATTTTTAATATATTAATTATTATTATTATTTTGTTAATAATAAATCTGAAAAACATATATATACTGACTCAAAAAATTGTCTCGATGTTTATAAATTTTTTGATTTTTAGTTTATAACTTTTAAACAACTGATTAAAAAAAACTAAAAACATAACTATTAATACATTACGATAATATCTTTTGAATGATATTTTATTTAATATTTTTAGTTAATAACATTATTAAAAATTAAACAATAAAAATATCATGTTTATTGGTACAATTTTTTTATTAAATTTAAATTTATAAATTTAATAATCTATATGCCATCCCTTTGCTTTAATTACAGCTGCAATTCTTTGTGGCATACTATCAATAAGTTCTATACATTTCTTTGTAGAAATCTCATTCCATTCTTGTTCAATTCGTTCCCGAAGATCATCATACCATTAGGTATATTTGTATAATTTGAAAGCTTTCTTTTAAAATGACTCTATAGATGTTCCATTGGGTTCAAATCTGGTGATTGTAAAGGCCAATATAACCCTCTAATTTCATTATCTTTTAGCCATTTTGGTGGTTTTTTTGCTGAATGCTTTGAGTCATTATTATACAGAAAAATAATATTTTTATGATTTGATTTATACTATTCTATTGTACCTAAAAGATGTTCATCTAAAATACCACAATATAATTCAGCATCCATAGTAGTTACTATACAAACTAAGTTTCCTATTTCTTTTGCTGTTATACATCCCCAAACCATTAATGATCCTTTACCATATTTCGCAGTTGGTATCACATGATTGCTCTGAAGAGATGAATTTGTTTTTTTCCAACCCCATTTTCAACCATCTTATTCAAAACAATTGATTTTAGTTTCATCTGAAAAGATAACCTTTCTCCAATCTTCAATCATCCAGTTTTTGTATCTTTTTGCAAAATCCAATTGTTGTTTTTTATGATATGGTTTAAGAAAAGACTTTTTCTTTTTGGTAATTGATTTTAACCCATTTTTTTTAATATATTACAAACTGTCTATACTGTAACATTAATATTATAATTTGTTTTAAGATATTTTTGAACATCTACAGCTGTATCTACTTGTTCTAAACAAATTAAATATACAATATAACATTCTTGTTATTGATTTAAAGAAGATTATTGGCCAGCAAGAGGTTTTGGAATGTCAGGACATATATTTTGACAGATTCTTGATACAGTACCATGACTGATATCAAGTTGGGTGGCAATTTTTCTTGTAGATAAGCCATGATAAATCAAAGAAATAATATTATTACATTTTTGTTTAGAAAGGCATTTCATTATTTAAAAATAATGCACAAGCAATAAAAAACAATAAATCAATTTTCTTTATATATCTTTCTAAAAAATATAAATTATTATGCAATTAATAGTAAAATATTTAATAAATCATTATCACTCAAAAAATTGTATCAATGTATTTATCAACTTTAATTAACTATTTTCTAACATTGATAATAATAACTTAAATTAATTAAATACTATTTAAAAGGCTGAATAAATATATGTCTATAGTTAAATTTATTGCTTTTTTAAACCAATTGCTCGATAGATATACCCTATAAACAAAAAAAGTTTTAATTATTGAAACAATTTTTTGAGTCAGTGTATGACCAACCAAAGATGGACTTTGATATCGAAGTTTCTTATCCTTTATGCTCTGAATTATCTTTTCACTAATATTGAATCCAGGAATTCATAGATCTCCTTATCTTCTAATGACGGGGGTTCAGCTAAAAGCTGACTTTTATTGACGCTGACGCTACACGTATTCCTTATCAGAATGACCCTCTATAGTGGTGTAGATAACTGAGATGTTATTGGTAATGAACTGCTTGGAGAGTACGAAATATCTACTGTAAAAGGTGTTATTTTGTGCATTAGTAATAATTTGAGTTTTGTTGTCTAAGTTCCTCTAAATCGTGTCTTAATTTTTCCACTTCGACTTTAAGCTCAGTATTGTTTTCGTCACCGGCGAGTCTGTCGCTAAAACGGCTCACTCTTCGCGTGACAATAATCTGAACGCTTGAATTTCGGCGCTAAATAAGGTAGGGCTTTAACTCCGAGGCGGTTACAATTTGACCGACTTTCGCACTTGCTAATCTCTTCTTGACCATCTTTTCTCTCTAGGCGCGTCTCGAGATTACAAGCGTTTCTTTTTACGGTGCAAAAGGTAACGATGCGTTTCTCATT